CCCCAAAACCCCAAAACCCCAAAACCCCAAAACCCCAAAACCCCTAAGGGGGTAGAGATGGTTGAAAGAGGTTTAGAAGAGAAAATTAGGGATTTAATGGGTTGATGAGAAGAGGGGAAATTTGAGGACTAAGGGAGGTTTTACTCTTAAAAGGCGATGTAGATGCATAATTAGGATAGAGAGAAGGACAAGGATTAGTTTGGATATTCGTGACAAATTTTATTGAAGAATTTATTAAATATTAGGTGATGAGAATAAAATTTTTGGCTATCTCTGCAAATTTCTATATGCTTCTCAAGCGACTCATCCCTTATCCATTACTAGAGCCCATTTCTTTACCATCAAAAAAGTAATTTAAATTATCTCAGGCCAAGCCTCTGGCTACTTTTCCTCTCTCCAAACTCATAAATTTAAAACTCACTCTAAGTCTCAATAGGTTGATTTTCCATTGTTCAATTAAAATAGGTGAATTATAAGCTTACTATGACAATCCTCCAAATCCATAAATCACTATACTTATGAGCTTATATTAAGTTCCCAGAAATATTTTGTATCTCAGATAGACTTCTTCATGCCGTTTAATAATATTTAGTAACGAGAAAAATTGTACGCTAGCTTCTACTGGTGAAACTCTGAAACCTTCTTCGGTTTCACTTTGAAATTCTGATCTGAAATTCGTTCTGTAGTTTCTTATTTCATACAGTTTGCGGAGATCCTCAGGAGATGTACTATCTTCTATAAACCTAATAAGCGATGAAGGGTGATATTAGAGTTAGAAGGCATCTTCTGGCAAAAAAAAAGACAAATTCATAGCTGGAATAAATTAGTGGTGATTAATTACTCTCTGTCTTCAGAGAAATAAATAGCATGTTTAAAGTTGAGCCATTTTAGTTTCTATAATTGAGAAGCTCACATGACTCCTTTAGAGTTTGCAGACCTCTGTAATGACGAGGAGTGTCTAGTTTTAAATACTAGGGCAAGAAATAGAGTATGAAGGTGCAATTTAGCGATTTTTTTAATCATAAACCGTATAATTAACATACAAGTAATAGAGTACTTAATAATCTATCCTATTGAGGTGTATACCAGATAGTAATTAAGAGGTGGTCCAGAAAGACAGTCTGGATCTTGTAACAGTTTTTCTGAGCCTAAACTCGGACTATTTTCTAAAGTTATTCTATTTATCGGCAATTCTCAAATGTAAACTGCTTTTATCAGTTCAACTAGGTAACTCAGAAGTCAATCAAAACGAACAGTAAGTTACTCGAAAGATGGCTTCTCGATGGAATGAATTCTGGAAGATATTTTATGACCAAGGTGAAACAAAGTGAGGAGGTAAACCATTATTTTTCAAAAGAATGTGATTATAATTGTCCTAAATTTCATTCAAATTAAGTATTATTATACATCCTTTTCGAAAAATTTTGGCTTGCTTTCCTATTGGGCTTAAGGGTACACAGTAGACAAAGAAAGCCAAGATGTACCTGTAAGCACTAGGCATCATCTGGTGGGGTTTATGGCCCTACACTTGATGAAGGTCTTAACAATCACAAAGAGCATTAAAATTTTAAGTTATTTTGCAATAAAAATTTATCGGTTTACCTTGCATATTGGAGGAGTTGTCTCGATTTTCTTTCAGGTTTAATCAGAGGAGAGACTTCTATCTTCTTCCAGTTAAGCTTGATATAGAGAAATAAACTATACAGATATCCCACCTTAGTATCTGAGTTGGCCACATATCCATATCAACTAATTTCCAGTTTATTTGATAGGTAGAGAAAATTACTCTAGTTCGATATTCCTAGTGACACATGAAAATCTTGATTCTTCAGATTAGTGAGATTATTAATTTATGCATTATTTAGTGCACAATAGTAGAAGAAAGAGGTTAAGTAAGCCTCAAAGCGCCCAGCTCGATATTTTGCCCCCATTTTTGAGATAGTCCACCATTTTGGAGAAAATAGATTTAGTTAAAAGAACCCAGTTTAACCCAACCCAGAAGAGCGTAAATAGAGTAAAGGGATTATGATAATTTACTGGTGATTGAGGACTGGAGATAAACTCTAGCTCTTGTTTAAATCTGCAAGAGCTCACAGACCTCAAATTTAGTGTACGAGAAGTTTGTCTTAGCCTTCATGCCATGGAAGGCAATAGCAAGCTTATCATAGAGGGCTGCAGCTTTTTCTTGAGTGGCCTCAGTACCTGCATAACTTTTTTTTCCTCCAATGACAATAAAGACTTGCCAAGACTTTCCATTTGCTGAGACTCCTCTATAGTTAGACCCTCTGAATTTAGTGCCGTGCTTAGGTTTGCGTGAGTTTTCCTTTCCAGTGGTTGTGAAGATAACCTCTTCACTGGATCTCTGTCCTAGTATCTTCAGGAGCTGCATTTTGGACTTTAATTTTTGTAATCCATGTTTCTTAGAAATTTTCTCAATAGCTTCAATTTCACTAGCAACTAATGTCCTTGGGATTTGTCTTGGAGTCTATAACACAGCATTAGTACTTTGTAAATGTACGTATAAGGATTTGTTAAATATGCATACAATTTATTAATTTCTTCAAAATTAGAAATCCTTACAATTAGATTGCCCTCGCCGAAGTTTTGTGGATGGCACATTCAATAGCTGTCCAGGCTAGACCAGCTTCTTGGAAGTGATTCAACATCTGAGTAGACTGCAAATGCTGGCTGTAAAGTCAGCATCTCAGGTGAGCACCTGTATGCTTCCATTACATCCTGTGCTTGATAGGAGCATGGAAGTACTGATAAGCATCCAGAAATTGCAATTTCAGGGGCATATCCTTTATTCTCAATGTTCAGAGCCATGTTAAGCTCTCCTAGAGAGCTCGAATGGTCTGAGTTATAATGAGATATAGCAGATTGATCAAATCTTGAAGATGAAGTTGGATAGAGGAGGGACCTATAAAAATTAGCTCAAAAATCAAGTCTAGTAGCTTACCTTTCACTCAGTTCGGATAATGGAAGCATGCACATGATTTGGCTTGAGTCTAAAGCAAAAGAGTTAGGAAGGCTGGGAATTGAGAGTTAATTAAAAAGTCAAAGTGAACCTTGTGATTTCAAGGCAGTATTTCATCATATTAGGAAGAGAGAACTTACTGTCAGATGTAAACTGGGTACTAGACTCTGAGTAAGAATTCATTTTATTTTAGTTAATTATTTATGGTCCTCTTCTGCATTTTATATCTACTTTGGGGTTTTGGGGTTTTGGGGTTTTGGGG